CTCCTCTCTCTCCATTCTCTCCTTCTCACCTTCTGCATACTTTCCTTTACTCCTAATCCCCATGGCTGCTTCTTTGAGCTTGGACATTCTTACTGTCTTTTTTATTTTGGTTCTGCTCGTTAGCTCTCTTTCTATACTTCTCTGTTCCAGAACTCTAATGTTACCTTCTAGTATTCTTGTATTCTATTTTTACAATTTACAACAGTTCTCAGCAGCTCTCAGCAGTTTACAGCAGTTCTCAACAGTTTTACATTCTCTTATTTACTTTTCGGTTTTGTCTTGCTTTCCGGCTTTTCAGCTTTTTGGCTTCTCTCTGCTTGGTGGTGTCCTTCAATATTTCCATATGTCTATCTGTCCTTTTTCAGTCTTCATAGTAGTTTACCTGCTACTTCATAGTAGTTTACCTGCTATATAGATTTGGTTGTGCACTTCCACCTTTTCTTGTTTAACATTTCTCTTTTGGATAACTTCTCTCATTTTGTTTTAGAAAACCAATATTAAGGAAATCAAATAGTAAGTATGACCATAGGTGTCCCTTATATTGTTTCTGCATCTTCTTATTTTCACCTATTTTGGTAGCACGAGCATCAATTACCTTGTTGTGCTTGCTACATAACATTGGCAATATGGGCCATGGTAACTCTGCGATCTGGTTGCTCTCATCTTCCCACGGCTAGGAATAAGATGGTAGTATACTCCTGCTCTGTCGACAGTCCACAGACAAAAAAGACACACACACACCCAACAATTTCTTTCTCTTCCCTCCTATTATCGGAAGGGGTTAAGAGCAGATTTTACAGTTCTAATTATTTTTCCACTTCTCCAAGCCCAATATTACAGGAAGTAGGTATTGGAGCTAGTCCTAACCTCAGCGTCCTCCCCTGACACTCACACCGGAAGTCCCAGCAAGGGGTATTTCAGAACAAGATCAACATGCATTCTGGAAGAGGAAACATTAAGCAACCTATAATGATAACATGGGATTCCTCCCCAACTTCTGATTCATGGGCCAAGTAATCAGAAATCTTAAACCCAGTAGAAAGGTCCAGATTCTGTCTAGCTGTGCTGCATCAGCAGCAATGAACCAACAGTGTCAAACGGCATACTTCTAGATGGCTTACTATTCAAGAAGTCTGATGCTGTTATCTGCCCCTTGAGTTGATCTGACTCACAGCAACCCTACAGATGAGACACCTCCAAGAACCCCTTTCCTCCACTTCTCTAGAACTTCTATGAATTAAATTATCTTCTATTATTTTGTCATAATTTCTTCTTAATTATACAATACAGCTTTTAATGTAAGCATTTAAGTGTAGCACAATTCTATTTTCATCTAGCTGGGGAAAGTCCCACTGAAGTCAGTGGGGTTTACTTTTTAATAGACATGTATGGGATTGGATTATAAATCATCTAATGATTTTTCCAATGTTTTATTCATAAAACAATGTCAATAATTGTACAGATGGTGCCAAAGGAACCAAAGCCTGCTAATGTGCATTATCTACTTCTTTCCAGATGTTTTCACTGTCTGCATACTATTTTCATTCCATATATTGTTATGCTTAAATTCTGTGCCATATTATATTGTTGGGGGAAAAAGCATCACAAATGTGGATATGAACCATAAGATATGTCTAAACACTACTATAATAATGGACAAATTTTTGTACTTTTTGTGATGATAAAAGTTACCAAATGTTCTTCAAATTTCATTGGGAAGTGGTGATTCCTAAAGAAGTGAGCTATTCAGGAGCTTGTATTTGGTGCAAAATTATCAACCTTTGGTTATATCACATAAACTGTGTTTAAGAGAGTAACCACTAAATAGCAGATAAATATAAATCTTCATTTGTTTTTCACTATTTTAGGATGCATACTAATTCATATCAAACACCAGGAACCATCTGCCACTTCTTCATTGGCAAAAGAGACTCTTTACAAATGATTAAAAAAAAAAACTAGTCCTGTCCAACAGAACAGATGGACTTATTATCCTGTGTTACAACACTACAGGTAGATAACAGCATACTAAAATAGTTGCCCAATGGAATATTAGCATGGAACAAAGTTAATATCTTTTTGGAATTCACAATGTGACACCCTGGAAGACAAATCTTAATATTTGCATTTGACTGAATGGGATATATAACTCCACAACATTTTTGATGATCTATTGTTGTTGTTGTTAACTGCCCTTAAGTCGATCTCGACTCATTGTGACCCTATGGATGAGACATCTTCAAGACCCTCTGTCCTCCACTGCGCTGCTTAATTCCTGCAGTCCCACACCTGTGACCTCCTTAATAGAGTCCATCCATCTGGCATGTGGCCTTCCTCTCTTCCTACTTCCCTCCACCTTCCCCAGCATTAATGTTTTTTCCATAGAGTCCTCTCTTCTCAGGATGTGTCCAAAGTATGACAGTCTCAGTTTGGTCATCTTGGCTTCCAGGGAGGTTTCTGGCTTGATCTTCTGTAGAACCCACTTGTTTGTCTTTTTGGCTTTCCATGGGATCCTCAGCACTCTTCTCCAGCACCACATCTCAAAGGAATTGATTTTCTTCCTATCATCTTTCTTAACAGTCCAGCAGTCACGTCCATACATGGTAATAGGGAATACAATGGCTTGTATGATTCTAACTTTTGTGCTGAGTTGTATATCTTTGCATTTTAAAATCTTTTCTACTTCTTTCATAGCCACCCTCCCCATTCTTAGTCTTCTTCTGATTTCCTGGCTGCAGTCCCCATTTCTATCAATCAATGATTGATCCCAGTTATGGAAATTCTTTTGATATTTCTATTTCTTCACTGTCTAGGTTGAACTTGTGAAGATTCTCAGTGGTCATTATTTTTGTTTTCTTTATGTTCAACATTAAGCCTGCCTTAGCACTTTCTTCTTTCATCTTCTTTTGTAGGTGTTTCAGGTCTGTGAGGTTTTCTGCTAGTACTATGGTGTCAT